GGGTTTGTTGGTTCGTTCCTCGTTCTCACAGTAGTTAGTCTTTGTTGTTTGCGATACTTGCATGTTTGTGGCCTCATTGCAAATTTGTGGTGTGCATTGTGCATTGGATTTTCATTTTGATTTAGATGCTCGTGATTTCAAAAATTTGTTCGATTGCTATCACGAAGGGAACGTTGCAGCATGGATCTACATATGTGGTTGATAGCTTGTTGTGGTTCATGATGACTCGCGATTTAGGATTTTCGTGGAGGAATGATGGTTCAATAGATTTTGCTGGTGTAGCACCACTAGTACAAAAATCGCATACAATTTCGAATATTTTGGGCTTTTAATGGTGAATTTGTGAGCGTCGTCATATCAGGAGACGTTAAATTGACGTCAAATTTAAAAAATTCAACGTTAAATTAACTTCAAAATTTGTCAATATACGACGTTAAATTAACGTCAAAATTTGTCAATATACGACGTTAACTTAATGTCAAATTTTGTCAATATACGATGTTAATCAATTTTGTTTTAATTAATTGTGATCCTTTTTACAACTCTACGAGACTTAAAAAGCAAAAAAAAACAACAAATTTCAATTTTTGGTATTTTATAAAGCAAGAACTATGAACGTGTAGTGTAGTATTAACAAACAACAAACAAGTTCAATCAAACAACAACAACAAACAAGTTTAACCAAACAACAACAAACAAGTTCAACAAAAAAAAAACGCAACAAATTTTTCAAAACAAAAACGAAAACTAACCTTCAAAAGGTGGGTTCGTCGAAATAAAATGTCGTCACCAGTGACAGAGAAAATAGAATGCACCTATGAAGGATAACAACACGAAAATAATCGGTCAAAACAAACAAAAATCATACATAAAGTAGTTAATTAACATGCATTTGTATCAAATGAAAGAAAAAATATATGTGATGGTTATCAAATTTCGTTCGAGAAAATTTTTAGAAGAGAAGAGGGTCTCGCGCGCTAAGATAAAGTAAATGAATTTTCAATCTTCCGCTCAAATTTTTATTGAATTCACTAACCTTTTAACATCTAACGTTGGGAAATTCGATGTTTTATATCCTTTTACGTCAAATTACAATTCTGAACGACGTTTAATAATTGTATTTATTTACAAAAAGGTCACCGATCATTTTTAACGTTGACTATTCAGTAGTTGGACGTTGAACGTTTGACGTTATATGTTGTTTTGTACTAGTGCACTATGAACAAATATTATGGCTGAAAGCATGAAGAAGATGGAGATTTGTGGTGGTTGATGTCGTGAATGGGTGATTGTTGGTGTCAATGGGTGACAGTAAAGGTGTGACCAATAGTGGTGTCACGGTGGCTGACGACATTGAAGAGGTCATGACGATTATGTCAGAAAAAATGGAACAGGTCATTCAAACAATAATCACATGTACAGTCTGCGGTTAACGATTTCAACAACATCATAAAAAAGATTAAATTGAACACAATTAACCAAAATTGGGACCATATACTAAAAAAATGAGTCTCACATTGAACAAAACCGACAAAAATAGGGACCAAAATAGTATTTAAGTCTTTTAAAAAAAATGGATATAGCTTTTTTAAGTCAATGAAATCAATTTCTTTTACGTATTAAATTGTATTACAAATTAACTTTTAAATTAGAATGTATCAAATTATATAAATAATTCAAATATCAATTTGAATCACAATTAAATAGTTATTAAAAAATTAATGTTACTATATCCATTTATTTTTAAAATTTTTAAAACATAGAAACGAATTACAAATATAAATTTAAGACTAAAAGATTACTTATTTTTTATTGAATAAAAATATAAAAACGTTGGAAATATATTCTCGCTTATTTAGGTCAACCAAGTATGATTTTACAGAAAAAATCAACTCACAAGATTATTTTATACGAAAATTATGAGACACTTCATTAAAGTTCTTTTCTTCATTGACTAAATTATGGGACATATATAAAGTTGACGAGACCTTTATCTCTTTGTTTTTTAAATCATTGGAGAATACTTATTCTATTGAATTTAAAAACAAATTACGCGGTGAAACGACAGAAATATAACTAATGTAATAAAACTTTGCAATATATTCTACAATAAAGAAAAAAAATTACTTAGTAATTTATTTCAATATTTAGATCTTTACTATATATATTATTATTATTATTTAACTTAATTAAGTATCTACTTTTTAAAAAAGATTAATTTTTTTACTAAGAAAGTTTAATTTTTTTATCAAAAAAAATTAATAATTTTTTTTCTTAAATTAGTATTTATGTGTTGTTTGAAAGTATTAAGTGTCTATATCAAAAAGTGAATTACCTTTCAAAAAATGTCATATGTTAAAATCAAAGAAGTTTTAATATAAAAAATTACTTACATTTTAATACATTACAAACCTAAATTTTAATAAGTATAACTTCAAAAAATAGTATTAATGTCAATTTAACATAATAAATCACATGGAGTCTTTTCACAGAAATGAAAACTTAATTAAGCAAAAAAAGATATATAAATATCAAAACAAATCAAATATATATTTATAGAAAATAAATTATTAATTAAAAATAAAACAGAAGAATGAACTATAAAATGTATGCCTAGTTAAATATTATACTCCTTTATATTAAGGATTTTACAATTCTTTTCAGTTTTCTACAAATTTTATAATATAAATTTTTGAAGTAATTATATATAAAAATTCTAAAAATGTCAAAATATACTCCTTCACTTCATCAACACTTAATAAATGTAAAAATAGATTTGAATTTATAATTAATTCGATTCACTGCAAGTTAAATTGAAGTTAAATGTAGGTCAAATTAACTTTTGTATTAAACCGATTCAACCCGAGTTAGAGATACATTGACCCATAATTTACTTCAAAAATTAACTCTTTTTTATTTTTTTATTGTAGTTGTTAATTGTTTGCAATTATGCATTTTAAAATTTCAACTCATTAATAGTATAATAGTACGTAGTGAAATAATAAATATTTTAATTATGTTTCTATAGATATATGGTTAAAACCAATTTACTTTTATTTTAAAAACTAAATTTTCTGAAAATTTACAAATCAACACTTCCTATTTAATGATGTTTTTAATTTATCTTATAACAAAAAATAATATAATAATAATATGAAAAAATGAATATGTCATGACATTTTTTGTGTCATACGTCAGGTAAATGACGTCGTTTGGTTTTAAACGTATTGAAATTGATTTATACTGACTCCGAAAATATTAAAATAAAAGCAAGTTGTCAATACAATAATTCCGAGCCTAATTAAGGGACAGAAGAAAGACAAAAACAAATATGGATATTATTATTTTTATTCAAAAACAATGAATTAAACAGAAATGGAAGATTCTTAGTTTGCAAGAATTGAATTAAAATTATATATTTTTCAAATTTGTAAACTATTAGCAGTAAAAAAATTAAATTATGAATTATAAAGTAAAGAGAGATTAAAAAGTAATTTAGTCTAAATCATTTTGCAAAGAAGGAATTTTTTTCTAATGTTTATAAACAAGATTAATTATTCCATCAACCACCAACATTTTTTAAACCCACGTTTCTCATGTCTTTTATTGTTTGGTTTCTAATTTAAGTGGTAAGTTTCTTGTTTTGCGTTGATTTGAAAAACCTCGTATAAATTAAGAATATCTGAGTAGGTGGAGCGGGTGGTTGAGATTAATTGGGTTAATTTGGAGTATTATATGATTATAATATGAGAAAACAAAACAACTACAATCTACATCACAACTTCGTCAGTGATGTTGCATCATCTCACGTATGAAAGGCAAAACAAAATCTCCTCAACTTATACAATCCTGCATTATTTCTTTGACAGAAATCACAATAATCATTCATTATTCTAAAGTAAAATAAATTAAGTGAACTTCTTTTTAGAATTTAAAATAATTAAGTTTTAAAGAAATATGTTCTTTATACAATATATAACGATAATAAGTTTTAAACTTAATTAAGTTTCACATTCCTCCTAAATGGAAGTATTTTTAGTTAAGTTTTTATTTTTATTTTTTGTTATATTAAATATTTAAAAATTTGTTTTTTAATGGAGTAATTCATTAATTTTTTTCGTTAATTGAATGATATGTTTCTTATCTTGCCTTATTTATAAGAAAAGACATAATATTTTGTAGTTAATGTTAAATGATATGATGATCAATATAAAATCAACTGATTTTTATTAGTAATTGAAAACGTATTAAAAAACAAGAATGATTTAATTGATGATGGTGACAAAGATAATCATAATAAGTGATAATATAGAAATTATTAGGAAGATGACAACCTTATTATTTACAACATTTTCAATTAAAATAATAAAAGTTATTTATCATTTTATATTAATCACGATATTATTTTTATATTGTATGATGTATAATCTAACTGTGTATATAACCGCGATATCACACAATTTTTAATAGGTAGAAACATATAACCAAAATGACGAACTAAGATAGTATTAATGTCACACAATTAACAAACAAATTTAAACACACAAACTTAACAAAAGTATATAAGAATTAAGTACTCAACAACAAAAAATTAATAAAAACTTTAAAAATATCCAAATTTATCATAAACATAAATTTAATTAAGTCTAAGTTTTAGAATAAAAAGATATCATGTTTTCAAAACCATTCAAATATCATTTACATACACAGAAAACAATATATATACATATTTTAAACAACTTATACTAGGAATGTTAAAATATTCATTTGATGGACACACACAACACACACACTGTGTAAAGGATGAAACTTTGAATAGAAATAACAATAAATGAATTATAGTTGTGCACTTTTATCACCCTTCCCCACTCTGCCAAAAACCACGTATTTTATACCTGAAGAACCAATGCCAAATTGATCAATTTCTACGATATCCCAGTATTCCAAATTGATCAATTCAACTAACTTGATAATTCAAATAATTTAATAGTTCAATATATGTTCAATCAAACATGGCATAGATAATACAATTTATGAAACATGAGCTGACACCTCCAAAACATGGAAATAATTTCTTTTTTTTTCTAGAGCTAATGGTCAAAGAACCTCGGTACCTCAGTCAACTATCACATTTTCAACTACGTATTCCAATATATTCAAGGACAATTGCAAGGCCAATATGCCACCAACCCAAAATATTATACATAAAGATAAAACTGGCCAACTTCTACCATTAGTAGAAAAGAATCTACAGTCTTGTTGACTCGTTGGAGAGTAAAGCTAGTTCAGTAGTAAGACGGAGCAAGGCATTCATCAACCATATCCAGAAGGTTTGGGTTTTCCAGTGCAGCTGCTACGCGTTCTTTATCATTTAATTGTTTGTTAACTGCATATGTATTTGTGATAAAAAAATTTAAATTGCAATGGTATTTGTGTCCAGTCATGATCAAAGATTTATAAAGAGAATTCTAAAAATGTCACGGGAAATCTAAACAAATTATTGACTTAAGCCGGCAAAGTTCCCTTGTTAAAGGGAGGGGCCTCCGAGGATTGTTGTTTGAGTAAAACAGATAATCATCAAATAAAATTAAACAACACAACACCTCATTCTTTCAACCAAAAAAGGTTAAATCCAAGAAAGGTGTTGTCACAGGTCTGTCAATAGCATTCATTACTCCAAGAAAGAAATGGAATGGCCAATCATCTAAGTAGTAAGACGTAGATCGATACTGAATGCTTCAGTAAACAGTTTAAGCAGTAAGTATAGGTGCATTAATTGAAGTAACACAACCTGATCCACAGGGAGAGAAAAAAGTAAGAAAGTTTTACCTGCAGCTTCAGTTGCATGAGATCCAGGTGCTACTCTGATATCCACCTGACCGGAATCAATAAGTCAAAATAAATAACATTGTCACAAAGGGTTCAAAGATCAGCCGAATATTTGGTTTAATTAGCAATTTCTGTAAATAATATTTTCAACTGACACACACAGAGTACCATGGAAGCATAGATTATGATTTATAAACACCATCATACAATTGGGTAACAATACAAAAATGTTGCAGTCTAAATCATGGTTAAGATGTCAAATAGTATTGCACAGGAGCCAACATGTGCTCCTCTAAAATTCTAGCTATGTAACACCAGTAAATCTTATTTAAGAGAGTATTAGCAAAACAAAAGGATGTTATGAATATAAATGGCATCAGTCAAGAGTAGAAGGTTTGACCCTCCCGGACCCCTTTAGGGTAGACTTTTAGGAAGCAGCTACAAAAAGATTAAACCCTACCTCATGTCAACCAGATTTTGAAGAAATACATGGAAAGCCCGTCCTATTTTATTTTTTAATTCAATTCACTTGCATATTTTTCAACTAAACCATATAAAGTACATTTTAATTGGAAAAATACATAAAAAGATACTTGGTGATTGGTCAGTCATGGACCCTAATCTGGAAACAACCTCTTCGTATATCCAAGGGGAAGGTAGCATACAATGACCATCTCCCATACTTTCATGAACCAATGAACTTTTGACACTAGGTTACTTCAGTTCGGTTATTCAAATAATATATAAAAAACATCAAGAATCTTGTGAAAGTAAGAAACTTAAGAAGTAAGAACTAAAACTTCTTTTTAGCAAAATGTGCGATTTCAACTTTATTATAACTCTAAACAAAATTATTATTTAACTATTTTCAATGATTATGACAAATGTCAGAAAAATAAAACCATAATTGATAACTCTATTTCTCTGGACGATGAGTTCACTACTATATCTGCTGCAATATACAGAGAATCTTTAGGCACACATAATGTTGTCCAACAGAGAGAGATGTTGGCTCCGGGGAGTTTTGGGATAGACAAGTGGTATGTTGTCCAGTTTAAATTTGGAGGCGTGTTTTGTCTGTGCTTCTTCAGTTGTCTTTGATGGTGGCAGATGAAGAAAATGAAATGAAGAATGCTTCAATGTGGTACAAGCCTTTAAGGAGTATTATGTGAAGAACAACGGAGTGGACACCTGTATCGAATTAGGTGCATCGTTTGCCTTCAATACAAAATTCTAATTCTTGCAGTGCAGCTGGTAAGTTTGGACTTGCTGTCATGGTGGGCTGATGGCATGGCTGGATGAGGTTGGGATGGATTGAGTCTAAAGAACAAATTGTGAGAGGTTCCTAGTGTTTGGAAGGTGCAAAGGCTTGGAAGGTGCCTAATGTTTGGAAGGGGCAATAAATTGGGTCAAGCCTTTTTGGTACAGTGCTGTGTCCTTGGCAAGTGCTAAGCTTAGTCTGTAGCCTCTTATATTTTGGCTTTAAACTTGTCAATATTATTTGGTTTTTCTTGTATCATGGTACTACCTGTACTTCTTTATCAATTTGATGGTCTTTTGCTAATTATAGAAGAAAAAAAACACCAAACTAGTGCCTGCCTTTACAAATTGAGAAGAACACGCCCAATCAAAGCACTTTCTTTCCATCAAAATTGGGTTGGAATCAAACAAGTACCCACAGGCTCAAATTCAATTACCATTTCTTATGAATCAAGAAAAGATTATGACAGACTAATCGAAAGCTAAACCCTAAATATTACATAAATATCTAGCATAGAGATCAAGCTTATGTTCCAGAGCGTTTAGCAAGTGCTCTCTAATGGTTTATTAGATGTTTTGTGGCTTTCACTTTCAGCTCATGGATTATTTTAAAGGTCTATGATAAGTAGACCTTTATCTGCTATGGAAAGGTGATCCTCTGAACAGAGTTATCTTGATTCTGCTTTAGGAGGATTTCTGATCCACCTGCTATTTATTATTTCCACCTCCAGTAGATACGTAAATGTGTTCTGCCACTTCTACAGAACAAAGAAAACAAAATTTTAAACTAGATACGTAAATGTGTTCTGCCACTATTGTAATTGTCCTGCACAATTAGTATTGATTCTTTTGTAAGGTAGAGATCATTCAAAAAAGAACATGGGAGTTAAAACAATTGCACATTGTGCAATATCGATCATTCACATTCACTAACAACTTTGTTGACATCATATCATAAATCATCATTGCAAATAAGTAATCCATTACTATTTTTAATCTCTCTTTACTTAGTATAAGCAATCTGAGTTAAAAAAAGTATGTTTCCTTAAAGTTGGTTTACTGAATGTCCATGGGCACAGTATGAACTCATTAAATACACCATACGAATTATTTTAAATTTCTTAAAAAATAGATTACTTAGTACTGCATTTTTCTTCTTTACGTAATTTTACCACATGCCCATGGGCACACAGTAGAAAGCTCTTCTATTAATTATATAACAAAATAACTATCAATATATTTTTTTCTCTCCAACTCCAACTAATCACATCAACTTATTGAACACGTAAAAGTGGAGAATACCTTGTACCGTGAAGGCAAGCTTCTCATGAGCTTGACACGTAAGCATAGACCTATAATTGTTGCCATACTACAATGTTCCACTGTTGGAGTAAATGTAATCCTGGTGAAAAACCCAGTCACCATCCAATCAAATAAGGAAATTAACATTACATATACTGATTAAGTGTGAATAAAAAAGTCTAGAAACTTAATAAATGAATATACATAATAATAATAACAATAATAATAAATACCTAACATAATTTCGCTGGTCATCAACTTCAACTGCTTCCTCCGTGATCACCTTAAGCTCTTCCAAGGAATATGGGTGCTCAGGGTCCTTTATATCTCTTATATGATGTGAGAATGTTAAGAAAATAAGCAGTTACAATTATCAAAATTTCTTTTATTTTCCAAGTAACTATTGAAAAAAAATATGAAATTTATAAAAGGATATCAAAAATCTCTTGTTGGTCAATTGGTTCAGCAGCATACTCATCTTGGAGAGCAGTTGGAGCAGTTCGAGTTCGACGCTCTTTCTTTTCATATATGATAGGATTCGCATTGATTAAACCAGATACCATTTTGGCTAAGAGTTGCAACTTGCTAGGTTAGGGAAACAATAAGACTAACGTAGTTTTAACTTGAATTTATCAATTTATTATCACAACACTGACAAATATGATAGCTGGGTCCTGGAAGGAAGGAATCTCAAGGTTTTGATTGAGCCTCTTTTATGCTGCATTCAGAAAAAATATACTATAAAATTGATCCTGGAATTTAAAAATAATAATAGGATTATGCAGACACATCATCACAGTTTGGTCTGGTATAGAAAATCAAACTGAACCAAGCCACTGGTAAAATTTAACATTTCCATTACCACAAGCGCCATATCAGTAAAGCACACATGGACTGAATAAATCATGAAAAGAAATCTTAGTTTTCATGTTTCTTGGAACAAAGCTTTTCTAGTAAAGTTCTCTCCCTGATATGAAGAAGTTGTTAAGGGTGGGCATGGTTCAGCTCAGGTTGAAAACTGAACCGAAGCATTACATTAGATTAATTTGGTTATCAGAAGCTAAACTGCTTGTAATGGTTCATAAGCGGGTTTGGATTCAATGAATTTTTTCAGAATCATATTAATTTCAAACCAGCTCTAAAACAGTTAAAATAACATTTTAACTAAATCAGTTTTTAAATTGTGAAACCAAACCAAAGGAGTGACCAGTATAAGCTATTCTATGGGGAAATGCCCCTAGAACTATCTGCTTATGTTGAAATAATTTACCTAACAATCATGCAGAAAGACAGATAATATGTAATAACAGAGAGAGATAAATGTCTAAAGCTAAACTAGTTGGCTGATTGTATAGTATTTATTGCACATAAAAACAAGAAAAATAACTGGTTGGTTCAGTTGCAATTCTTAATCTGTTACAGGGATCAACAAGATTTTGCTTTTGACAACAGAGAGCAACTAGGTTCACAACTTGATCACCCATCTCTGTCCCTCATTCTTCTTTCCCATTGCGATTTTATTCTCTTATTTCATATAGTTCTTCTCGATTAATAATTTGATTGAGTTAATTTCTTATCTAAATCAGCGAATGTTGTTTGGTAAACACCAATTACAGTCATACCCATGAATTATGTAAATAGGTTTAATTTTTCACTTTTTCATAACAATCCTTGACAAAGAACTGAACTGCACTACTGCAGTCTAAATGTTTGTAAAGATTTGCTTTGCTTTAGATGGAGAGTCGGCTACACCTTTACTCATTCACAGATCATATTCTTCTAAAAATATTGAGTGAGAATCATAACACATGCTAGGAAGAAAATTTAATATTAATCATGCATACACTGACATCATATTGCAAAGAGCTACCCAATAATTTTATCAGTATGCATAGTTTTGTCTTCCTGCAAAAACATATTTTTTGACCTTGAAAACTGCTCAGGAAAACATGACACCTTCCAAGTGAATGTTAAACGTAGATAATAAATGCACTCCCCCTCACCCCAGCTTTGAGGGATTACTTGAGATTTAGCATACACCAACTAATCTAATTATTCACTAAGTGACAAAGAAACCTGTTAGTTGCCACTTTCCATTCAAATAAAAGCATTATTTCCTTGCAAAATTACCCCCAAGAAACTCTTTACCAGCACGCCTCTCAATATTATATGGTGAGGGTTACCCTTACCGGTATAACCTATTTGTCCCAAACTTGGCAAACATAAATAGTTAAATTACATTTATTCATCGGTGGAGAAAGAAAAAATAGTAAAAACCCAATAGTATATGGATTGTACTCACTGGGCCTAAAAATTTTAAACATGGCATAAAGAGGGATAAAGTTTCTTTCTTTCTCGAATTTCTAATATCATCAGGCACGAGCAATGCTCGTGACCTTTTCTTATTATCCAACCTAAGAGGGATAACAGAGCACAGGGTTTCATGAGACCATAACCAATAACAACAATCTTACCACGTATCCCTACTCCTCTCATTTTATACACAAACCAACACACAATGAATTTTTCATCCTCAAGCAACTTAACAACGTCTACGTGAAAATTAAGGAATTCAGTTTACCGTAATATTGAAACTTGCAACTGTGACAACGCAACCGAATGTCTTAAGAATGAAATGGTGTGAAAAATCATAGCTGATGGTATTAGAGTTGAGCAAGGTTCTTACCTTTTCTCTAAAAGAAATGAGAAGCTAGGGTTTCCAAACTTGTGGCTTCGATCTTGGAAACGGTGATTGGTTGAGGAAGATAACTCACGAACCCGCCGCTATTATGATGATGATTCAAGGAAACACGATTATAAGGTTAAATAAACTAAAATATGCATCACAGGATTCAATTCAACGTGGATAAAAAACAAGAATTCACTCCAATAACCTTTGAACAAATATATTTCGATGAATGGTTAAACCAGAGAAAATGTTTTTTAATAAATAATTAACAATATATGTTCTTTCTCTATCTTTTAAATATTTGAATTTAAATCTGTAAAAACAACAATTTTGTTTTACTATTTTCTCGATAAATTTGAAAAAAAAAATAACATTCAAAATAGAAAAAAAGTCAAAAAGTATCTTTAATATAATAAGAATATTCTCGAAATATCAGGCCAAGCAAAAAATGTTTTAGTTACTTTCAAAAATATCAATATAGTTTTCAACAAATTCTAGTTGACAATGGATGATGAATAATACATTTGTCTCTCCTCTTCTATTAAAATTTACATTTTCTTTTGCTTGTTTTTTTCTAAAATTATTATACAATTATTATCCCTTAAGAGATGAATCAGGAGTGTCGAAATGAGTTAATATGATCACACGAAATTCACCAATTTGATTTATTATGGATTAATGGATTAATAGATTGATTTAAATAATATTTTTTAATTTATTTATATATTTATTATAAAATAATAAAAATAAATTAGTTTGATTTATTTTTTTGTAATATTAAATTTTACTAATTCTTTAAATATTATTAGAAAAATAATAATTAAAAATTGAATATCAACATATATAACTTAACCAATAAATAAATTAAATATCCAAACCATTTCGATGTTTAATAATATTTTAATATTTAAAAAAATTAAATTATGAATTTATATAATTATAAATAGTAAATAATTATAATAAAAATCTATAAAAGATAATAAATAAATTAATAAAATATAGTTGTTAATAAGTTACAAATTAGTCTATTTTTAACTCACTTCAAATCTATTTAACTTATGATATAAATGAATCGATTTAATTAAATCCACAGTTTAATTTCTTTTTTTTTTTCAAACTGATCGATTCAAACCTTCAATGAGTCATGTCGGTCAGAACCAATTTTGACATCTAAATGCAAGTATTTCATTGTCTTAATTTTTATATTAAAAGCTATAAAATAGTTCAACAATTTGATTTTAAAAATAAATATATTATCACGTGATAAAAGAAAAGAAAAGAAAATAGAGAATTGTTTTTGACTCAGACAGACACCTACGTTAATATTTGTGGTAGCCGTGTTCTTCTCCCCATCTCAAAATTTCGGCGGTGTTCCTCTTCCATCTTCTCCAACCCAACAATTTCTACATCCAACACCCAATTTCCAAATTTCATCACACCATCTAAGGTAATCACTCTCACATCATTCTTCATCCTCCCTCACCTTCATACACCTTTTCCATGTTCTATTTTCTGCAACAATTTCGGGACTCAATAGTTACCCCATGTTTAGGGATTTTCTCTCTTATTATTCCTGTTTTCCCAATACTTCCATGTGTATCTCGCTACAAATTTCTGAAACGGCTTTGAAACCAACCAGATTATTTTGTTCCTGGGTGAATTTTGAAAATCCTCATGTATTTTGTATTTATTCAATCAATTGGTGTTATCAAGAGCAAACTGCTTTAACGACCAGCTAACAAAACCGTTGCTTGTTCCTTGGCCTTCGCTTCTTCTCTGCTACGTATTACAGCCCTAATCGTAGGGGCGCGAAAGCTACAATTCTGAAAATGCAGGTTTCGAGTGCTATCAGTGACGTTTTGGTTGTGCTTCCGCCTTCTGCATCTCTCAGACTACCGGAATTTCGCCACTTGCATGCTTTTGCCGTTTCTGATGCCAAGGGTTTTCTTTCTGGTGGATTTCTTAAAGTAAGCTTTTTTGTTTTTTACCTTTTTCTTTATTGTTATGTACGCTTTTTCTTTTTTGTTATGTATACGTATCATTAACATTAATATTTTAACTATACTGACACTGCCACAGTTCTTGTTCCATTTGGCTTCAAGCATGATTCCTGTATTCAATTTATTCTTTGTCTTGACTTATCTTTTTATTCCAATTTTTTCCTCTCCATTTAGTTTGATACTTCTACTTCTTTTGAAAGTGCCCCATTTTGCTGGCAGATGCATTCATTATTTCAGTGTCACTGCTTATATTCTTTAGTTTAATACTTCTACTCAACATGTTATATTCTTTGCAGAGCTGTCCTTCGTCTTACAATCCCAAGCACTATAATGAATTCTACAATTTCCGAGCTAGAGGTTTAGTTGCAAGAGCATCAGCTAATTCAAGGGGCAATTCGGCGCCTTTTGCTCCTCTCCAATTTGAGTCACCAGTTGGTCAGCTTTTGGAACAAATTTCAAATACCCATCCACATCTACTGCCAGCGGCCATTGATCAGCAACTAGAGAATCTTCAGACTGCTAGAGATGCTCAGAAAGAATCGTCTACTTCACCTGATGATTCCCTTTACAAGTAAGTCTCGCAAGTTTTGTTTCATTTTTTCCGTTTGACTAGAAGTACCTACTTGATAGACAAAACTTGAGAATGTTCAAATACTTTTAGAACTATTCTAACAATATTAGGTTCATGGCACGTACAATATCTTGGAAGCTTTGGTTAAGAAATTCAAATTTTCAATTGCACTAACTAGATAGTGTACTGTCTTATTTGTAGACCCTTTCCTACAACAAATGTCTTGTGAAAAAGATTTGCCTGCATAGTTTTAACTTCCCTTTATAATATTTGTCGTTTTTGGTCTTTAATTTCTTCATTTTCTTGTTAAAAATACGTAAATAATTAATAAGTTCAAGCTTTAGTTGAATGAAATATAAGGCTGTGTTTTTAGATAAGCTACTCTGGAAGTCCATTTCTGTCTATTACATGACTGTTAAAGAAACCCTTAATTACACTAATGAGTAGCACAATATAAAAATATGAAATATTCATCAGTGAGTCCATGTTTGCATTTTTGCATCCTTAGTTAGTGTATCACTCTTTATCACCTTAATTTTTCTGTCAGCTACTTATATAATTTTTTTTCCAAAAACACCTGCATCCATATGCACACACAGATAAATAATTGCATGTGATGTGCGTTACTATTCATACACACATGATCACTGTCTGTCAACTTTGTGGTGCTAGCTCCTTATGTTTTCTTATAAACTGATAAAATAAAGAATGCTATTTGTTTATAAACTTGTTATTCCGAAATTGTATTTTTTTTTTGGTTGGGGAAGGCATGTAGTTGGTGCTGGTGATAGCTGCTACGAGAAGGTTTGCTATGGTTGTAAAGTTTTGCCGCCTATTTATTCACCTGTGTGAAGGTTGTTGTAGCCAGAAGATGATTCCTTTTTCGTGTTAGACTATTCTAAATGACAATATTCTAGGAAAAATTCTAGCTAACTACTTAATTTTTAGTACAATTTATTATACTAATTCTAGAGTCGTCAAGATGTTACAATATTCACTGGTACATCTAATTTCTTGTAGAATGAAAGTCTTCTAGAAATCTGAATCAAATTTTAACATAAACAAATGTTTAACTCACTTATAAAGATACTCTCTATCTCTTCTGTATCTCATGTTAACGCATACGGATTGGAAAATTGATACTCATAATGTTTCATGGTCGCAAATTTATAGCAATCATATATTTGCAGCAAATGGTGGCATATTTAGTTACTGCTAGTACAGAAGTGATAAATTTTTGTCAAATCTGAATTTTAGGAGGATAGCTGAAGTCAAAGAGAAAGAGAAGCGAACGACATTGGAAGAGATCATGTACTGCTCAATTGTGCATAAATTTTTAGAGAACAACATTTCAATGATTCCAAAACTAACAGCAACATCAGATCCAACTGGTCGAGTGGATTTATGGCCAAATCAAGAGCTGAAACTAGAAGCTGTGCATTCTCCAGAGGCGTTCGAGATGATTCAGAGTCACTTATCTTTGGTACTAGGAGATCGGCTTGTGGGTCCCCTTCAGACAATTGTTCAGATTAGTAAAATTAAACTGGGAAAGCTGTATGCTGCTTCCATAATGTACGGATACTTTCTCAAACGAGTTGATGAACGGTTTCAACTTGAGAGGTCAATGGGAACCCTTCCCAAGGATTTGGGAAAGACTAAAAGTTTTGAGGAACCATCACCAGGTATCAAGCTTTGGGATCCTGATTCCTTGATCACAGTTCAGGATTACGACGATGACAGTTATAGTGATAGTGATTACATGGATACAGAAGGCAAATCTTTCAGACTAAGAGCTTATGTGATGCAGTTGGATGCAGAGACACTTCAGAGACTTGCTACTGTACGATCAAAGGAAGCTATATCATTGATTGAAAAGCAAACTCAGGCCCTGTTCGGAAGGCCTGATATCCGTGTGTCTGGTGATGGTTCAATTGAAACATCCAATGATGAATTGCTTTCACTCACTTTCTCTGGCTTGACCATGCTAGTTTTGGAAGCTGTTGCTTTTGGATCATTCCTCTGGGACAAGGAAAACTATGTTGAATCCAAGTACCCTTTTCTTAATGAGTAGACTAGATCACTGTACCATTAGATTATTTTTACTGTACCTTTTAGAATGTAAATTAATGCTTGGAACTTGGCGTTTTGGTCGTCAAAGAATTGTTTTCTATTCTTAACAGGAATGGTTCAATGTTATATAGAGCCTCAGAAAAACCACATGGACGTGGCAGTATATAGGAAAATGTACATTTAATATATAGGCAGGACAATAATATATGCAATGGATTTTGTAAATGTCTCAAACGAGTGAAATTTTCGTTTTTGGCTTATAATTGTTGAATTGTGGCCTGCAAGCTTGTTCAAAAAAAACCTGGCTGCATAAGGGCTAATCACAATGCGGTGCTAATTTTGTTTGACTGGCATTTACCTTAATAAAAATTACATTAATGGACTAATATTTCGTTCTTTTAACTGTTCACATTAATAAACTTCATTTAATATTATCTCTTTTCTTCTTTTTGAAAAGAAATTTCTTTATTTATATTTTTCCGCCTTCTTTATATAATGAATTTTTTTGGTTTTCACAATTTTTAAATGGTTAACTGATTTGA